TCCTATTCGAAAGAGCCTTGCACAACATAAAAAAGCATGTCTAGGTCATTAGATTCACCTGGAAAAATTAGAAATAATATTGAATGACCAAAAATGTGTTGTTTTGATGATTATGGTATGTCTGTAAATGGGCGTAATATTAGAAAAAAACATCGAAATCAACAAGATAGGAAACAATAAATTTCAGAAACTCAGTCTTAATGGAAACATTTAAGAATAGGGTTTTGAGCCTCCTGGAAAAAGGATGCGACTCAAATAGACTTTTTTGTTCACAATTATAATAACAGTCCTAATTTATACACTAATTGGTTCACTCACTCTCTCTAAGGCAAAAGAGCCCATCAACTTAACCAGAAGTGTGTATGGTATAACACAATCGGAGTTATAATTAAAATAAAAAAGAGGGATCATTAAACCTTAGAGACCGGGGACAGATGTTACGTTCTATTCTAATTAATTTAACCTAACACTGCTGGTTTCGTACTCATACTCACACATGAAGGCAGGCAAGTACACATATCCATAAGCACACATTCTTCTAGATTGACAATGACTTGAACTAACCAAATCAGTTTATGCCTCATCCGAACGCTGAGAGTTATGGTATGTATACATCATCTAGGCTTGAATATAGTTGTAAGAATGATACAATTTTATGAAGACGAAAGCTTAGCACATTTTTACCGGAATCGAAAGGGATTGCCTCGAAGACAGCGTCGCTCAGAATGTTCTAGTACAACTTAATGATAGCTGGCCATCGTCTTCTGGTAGGATTGACCTTCAAACGCTTTCACTCTAAATGGAAGTCAGCTCAAAAAACAAAACGTGGAAAAGCAACTTTTCATACAGAATGAGTGAGCCTCAACAACACTCTCACCAAAAATATGAACCTAGAAATGCCTGACTTGTCTTAAAATTCACTTTTGCTCTGTGAAGCAGTGGTTACATTGCCACGACCTAACGACTCGGTTTCACATCTCGTTGGAGAGGTTAACTAAAAACTCTAATCTATCTTGGATGACAAAGCTATGTAAGATTAAATGGCATCATAAGGTCTACCCATTTAATTGTGAGATATGAAAGTTGCAATCCTAAATCATCTTAGGCGAAATAAAGTGAAAAATTTTAAATCAGAATCTTCTCTCACCTGGAAGCAAAATTTACTGAGCTAGCCGGGTTTCCAGCTAGCGGAATAGCCGACCAGAGTCCCGAAGATGACGAAATAGGAACGCTGTTAAGCTTACAGGTTGAAATAGGCGTGTTGGAGATCAGCTCGCAAGGCGACGGGCTGTTATGGCCCCCAGATACCACTGCTGAACCAGTACTCTCCATAGTTGAGATGGTGCAGCCCTTGTCACTATAATCATTGGAGCCGGATGAACGGGAGAGAACGTCAGTTCGGGAAGTCAAGTTATTGGAGACAACAGCTTCTTTACTTATAACGGTAGATTGGTCGAAATACCCACCGTCTGATTGTTTCGAAGCTGCATCTTTCCTTGATTCCTCCTCAGTCTGGCCAACTGCGGAATTCATACCATCATTTCCAGACGTTTGGAGATTAGAGGCCCCGCAAACGCTTCCTGAAGCCGATTGAGAGACCGACCTAAGGCCATCAGGTAAGCCATTCTGATAAGGTGAATCGCCAGGGCTAGTACCAGTGCTAGCAGCAGCCGCATGAAAGCTGTATAAACCTTTAAGAAGGATGAAAAAGCAGAGTTTGCTTAACTTTTCCCTTTAGCCTAGGCATAGCTAGCGACCAAACTTGATTACGTATATTCAAATTTAGTAGGCTTTAGTACTACAATAGTAGTTGCTTGGCCTTGTTTTCGCAACTTGGTTGTATTGACAGGAAGACTTAGAGAAACGCATGTTGTCCGTAGTCCATAGTATCTATGTTAATTTCCAGATTCGGACCATGGAATTGGTACATTCCCAGACGTTATACTGGCAAGGTGCGTTCCTCTATGTCTTCCTGACAATATGATCAAGTTACGAAAACAAGGTCAGACAACTATAATACATCGAAAGGAGACTGCGACCAAAATAAAGACCACAACATCTTGGTCTTCGTATCTATGTTAGTATTACCTATTCTTATTCATCACATATATACCCTTCCAGCTCTGCCGAACAAAACTCCTCTGCGTGAGGTCCCCGCTTCATCACGCTTCGAATAGTAAGCAGAGAAAAAATGTAGCTGCTTGAATTGGGAAGCTAAGTAAGGTGTTTTCACGTAAATTGTGTGAAGCCTACTAGAAGCTGAAACAGGAGGGATTCAAGAGTCGAGTCTTCATATATTTGCCCTCGCGGCGCAGGAAGATACAACAATTAAATCCCAGTATGAATAGATCTTGAGGCAACCAAAAACTAAAGGCTTAAGGTTCTTCGCATAAGTTTTATGGAGTGAGCAAACTAGAATGAATCGACTCTAAAATAATTTTAATACTAATGATAATGGTAATGTAGAATAATAGCATTTTGAAAAATAATACGTACTGGCTGCCTTAACAAGCTCAGAATGGAAAAAGGATGACGGATTTGAGGCTAGAGATGCTGAAAGGCCAGTCCTAGGAGCAGATATTCTGGATGGAAGAGGAAGGAATGGTTTAACCGAGCCACCAATAGACTCGAGGTTTTCGTATTCATGAGGGCATTTGCTCTGACGCTGAAGATATTGTTGTTGCTGCTGTTGGTGCTTATGCTGCTGCTGGTGGTGATGGACAGCTGCAGCGGCGTGAATTGCGGCGTCGTAGAATGCAGCCGGACCAAGAAATTGGGAAAAAGGACCGGCAGACGATGAAATATTGGGAATAGGTGATTTTACGGAGATACGGTTCATCTATTGATAAACGGAAGAAAGACAAGGAATTCTAAATTATGTATATATATACATATATATATATGCTGTTTGAGGGTAATAAAAGATAAAGAAATGTCCAAAAGCGATGCACAGTGTACTCATAATTCGCAAAGACAAGAAATACTATAATTAGGGTGTTCTTGCGACCGTTTCGAGACAAAATTGGATTTCATTTTAGTTATTCTCATTCCGAAAGCATTAACTCCTTAATGTCTTAATACAAGGTAAGATGTGCGCATTCAAAAATTCGATAGTTGACAATAGCGACGGTAAGGATCCTTAGATGACGCACATTCATTTGGCCAATTACTTTATAGAAGCTTGAGAGAAAATGAGGACTCACTGTGTAAGCGTAGAATAAAGAAAACTGCAACAATTCCATTATCTATATCATGATCACCGAATTGCCAAGTATTGGGCTTTGGTCTGGTCGGACAGTTTGAGTTCTAAGGCTTTAATATTGTATACTGGTGCTTCCATTGATCATACTCTCAAGGATGACACAAGTTAAATTACGCTAGGATTAAATTACTTGAATCTGTATAAACGTGGTGCTCGGCAACTTTTTTTCGTTTATAAGACGAATTTCAGGACTACTAGTTATATGAGATATATATTTACCCTAGTTTGTTTAAGGTAATGAAGGACTGACAGTTGTATTTTCCCACAATGATATGAGTAAGGTTGACGCTTTCATTGAATTTCACATAGCTTTGTTTTGCCTGAAGTTGTTCTCATCCAGAGTGGACTGCAGTTTCGATCTTGCTTAGGTTTTATCAACACCCCAGGCATGAGTCAAACCCTACTCATTAACGAAAAATGAGTAATGTAGTCGATTGTTATAGCAAATATAAGTTTGCTTCATCGACAATCTCACCAAAAAATGTAATATGAAGAAAATTCCTGGCCTTCCTTGACATTTACATCTGCTCTAAGGGCACTCGTGGT